CATTTCACCTGTGGCAGCCAGGTAGTCCTGAGACACAGGAGAAAACCCACGAAGTGAGCCACTAGAGGTCAGTGACTGTAACAACGACTTTGAGAGACGGAAAAACTTCTTCCTGGATGCCGAAACGGGGAAGAAAAGCTGAAGTTCTCTTCGGAGAACCCAGCTTGGCCCGTGAGATCTAGCCCATAAGCCAAATAGGGGAGATCTTACAGCCAGGATAGTAGCATGCCGCTATTGTCCATCCGAGACTCAAGTCTCCAAGTGTTTTTCAACTCCCTAGGGGAGAATTTTATTTTGAAAGACCAACCGGATACTCCAGCTTGAATCTTTCTGGTGAAGATCGAAGCAGACGAAAGTTGCCTAAAAATAACACTTTTTCGCCAAGGAACAGTGAGCGGGCCGAGCGAAACGATCCCTGACTGGTCGGAGGTGAGACAGTATTTGCCCGGGGTGTGGTAAAGAAGCCAGCAACAGGTAAACGCTGTTGTGTTCCAGGTGACGTGTCATGTGGAGATCTGAGCGCAGAGAGGATGTGCTGGTCCGGTTGATACATCTTAACAAAATAAGAGTCGAAACACTAACCTTATTTTCATCCCTTTTTCTTATTCTTTATTTGCCAAACTTAAGTTAAAAGTGCCAGTAAAATTGTTTGGTTGTTAATCAGAACTGATGTTTTACTGTTCTAAGTAATGAGTTTGATGTGAATTAAAATTCGGACGCGAGTTTTACCGCATTTTAACTTTGAAGCTTGTTATAGGAAAACCCACAATCAAGTGTACTTATGATCTGTTCAATTTGTGTAAATAAATGATTGCATAATCTTTTATGAATCAACTTGAACTCGTCTGAACGTTCCCTTCTTGTGTCACTTTTCACTTTGCACAGTCCAAAATATTACAGTAATGAGAAAATACCTTGGTAAAAATTTCTCTCATAGCTAATTTATGAGAAGTATGTAGAAGGCTTATTTTAATATAAGTATTGCTCCTACATGGGAAAAGTTTGGGGAACTCTCTTCTTCAGCCACCACACAACATCTGCAGAGCTGCGAGAGCTGACAGGCAGTCTGCTGCGGGAGTGCATGGGGGAGGGGTCACGGGGTAAAGTCTGAAGCTCACAGATCAGAGGAAAGATAAACAAAAAATGCTTACACCATAGGCACGGTATGACAGAAGATTTTAGTGGTTTTGAAACCATGATTTTTTCATATCACGGTATACCTTGAAACCGGTATTTGGCCCATGCTTGACACAATGAGAACTAGGGCTGAGTCTAAAATGAGCAAACCCAGGAAGAACCACAGAGGCTAGTAGTAAAAATAATAACAGTGTTTTATTTTTACAGGTGATATAAACAATGTCCAGGAGGTCAGAGCCGAGAGCGGGACCCAGAGAATCTGGAGAAGAGATACTGGTGAGTATGGAGCAGATAAGAGATGATGCTGGGTATTTAGTATGAGGAGAGTCATCTTGACTTACTGGGTTTAGAAGGCGAGTAGTACACAGGAGGAGGTACATAAAATCCAGAGGGTTAAATCCAGTAACGATAGTTCTTTGAAGCTGAGGCAGACAGGCAGCGAGCTTTAATTGTTTGAGATCCAGAGGAACACTCTTTGTATTGTTTCCACAGGGTGAGACCCAAAGTACATGACGATTCAGAGTTGACCTGCTGAAGACTGGAGCCTTAATTTGCAGGTCAGGTCATCAGATGAAATCAGTCTAAGGTGTGCTCTGCTGTGTGCCAATTAACTCATGAGGAGAGGAGAAACAGGAGGATGTGGGTGAGAAACTCAAATGCTTCAGTACCCCCTCCTCAGGAATCGCCTCCAGGCGATCTGGGTCTCTTGTCCGGTGAGCTCTGTAAAAGGAAGAGATTAATGAAGGGTCCAAGATGGCGGACCTGGGGACCCATGACCTCTCTTCAGGGCCATAACCCTCCCAGTCCACGAGGTACTGGAACCCACGACCCCTGCGCCTCACATCGAGGAGTCGTCTTACAGAGTAGGCGGGTTGATTGTCGATGAGGCGGGGTGGCGGAGGAGAACTGGCTGGAGGGGAAAAAGAGTTAGAAGTGATGGGTTTGATCTGGGACACGTGAAAAGTAGGGTGAATCCTCATAGTCAGGGGGAGCTTGAGGCGAACGGCAGAGGGGTTAATAACTTGGCGTATGGGATATGGGCCAATGAACTGTGGAGCTACTTTCTTGGGGGTATCGCGGAGGTGAATGTCCTTGGTGGAGAGCCAAACCATCTGACCAGGGCTGTAGGATGGAGCTGGAGTGCGATGACGGTCGGC